AACAAGTGAAGGTCGCAAGGGCAATCAATGAAAACGTTACCAGCAGCTCCAAGCGGACTTTGGCTGCCTATAGCCCTAAGAACAATGTCCACACCCCGGGCGCCCTGCCTTGTTCAGTTGCACGGGACAAACAGCAGGTCAATATCTTGGGTTGGCCTCCTTGGTCAGTGGGCGGCCCTGGGCCATATTCACAGACTGGTGAATGGGAACGGGGGGGTTATCCCATCTGACAGGTGGTTTGCATGGCTTTGTGGGGCAGCTGCAGGGTCCATACAGGTCTATATGGCCTATGGCAGGCTGTGAGGAGGATGCAAGGCCTATACAGGCTGTACTGCTCCTAGCAGGAAGCAAGGAGGATGCAGGGCCCATACAGGGCAGCTGTGCAGAGGGTTGTACAGCCCAGGAGGGCTGAGGGGGAGCAGACAGAGCAGGACCTCTCAGGCCCATCAGCTATTGGGAGGTTGCAAGCCCTATACAGCCCTGTATGGCTGGGGGGAGGGTGGGGGAGGATAGGAATTGGCTCACTTTTGGAGAGGTATGAAATGTTTGCCATGGGGATATATAAGCCTCCCAGACACTCTGGTCTTTACAAGTGACGGTGAGCAGGTGATGCAATTCGCGGCATGTGCCGCGGCGTATGCAAATCGCAACCCTTCCACGTCTTCACGCAAAGTGGGGATCTAGGGGACGCGCGGCCGGCTCTATGACCTGGGGGGGTGGGGTTGTGCTGGTACATACTGGGCTATATGGATCTTGGTAGGATGGTCTGTATAGGGCTATATGTCCTGGGTGGGTGCTGGTTCTTACACAGCTGTATGGATGGCAGTAGAATGGTCTGTATGGGGCTATATGGCCTCGGATGTGTGTGTACTGGTCCATACAGGCTGTATGGATTTCAGTAGGATGATCTGTATAGGGTTCTATAGCCTGGAGCGATGCTGGTCCATACAAGGCTGTATGGATGGCAGTAGAATGATCTATTTGGGGCTATATAGCTTGGGGATCACAGTCTGTGGATCCCTGCCTCCCTTCTCTCTGCTTGCCAGCCCCGCTTGTCACTCCCAGGGTGAGGCGGAAACAGAGGGCAGCCGAGGCGGGGGGCGCGGGCCTGACACTGGAGCTGCGCTGGGAGTGGCAGGACTCCGGCGGCACCTGGCATCGCTTCGTGCCTGAGCAGAGCGAGGTGCTGACACAGGCGGCCAGGTGAGTGCCCTGGGGGCGGGGGGAGTGTCGTGGCTCGGGCTATGGTGGGGGAGTCACAGGCTCTGAGCCGTGTCCATCTACCCCCAGGGCAGGGAAGCCCAGCGTGGCTGTGGGTTCCCGCGTGGACCTGCGGCGGATGGTGCAGTGGGATGGACAGATGGGGCAGGACAGATGTGTGGCAGCCGCTTTCCAGGACCAGGACTCCTGTGAGTGCCCAGGGGGGAGCAGTGTCGTCCTGGATGCCTGGGTCCCACCCCTGTCTTGATCACTCCCCCGAATTATGGGGCCCCCTAGGGGTCAGCACCCTGCTGTGCTGCTCGGACACCTGTGTCCTATGCCCAGTCGCCGTCACTGCCCCAGAGGCTGGGAGCTGTGGGGCCCCCGGGGGTGAACGCCCTGCTCAGCCACCTGGACACCTGGGTCCGATGCCCCATCACCATCACTGCCCCAGAGGCTGGGAGCTGCAGGGTTAGCGCTGGCAGGGAGCTAACAGGATGCCCGCGGCCCAGATTTTGTGTGGTGCTGGCAGGGGGACGAAGAGGGGCAGTGGCTGCCCTACCCTGCCGATACCTGCCTGGCGCTGGAGCGAGCGTGGCGTGGCGACGGGGGTCCCAGCCTAGAGGTGACGTTCAGCCGGACCCGCTACATATTGGACACGGCACAGATGACCCAGACCAACATCAGAACTGGGTACCAGCGCCGGATGGAGCGGAGGGAGTCAGGTACTCCTGGATTCTCTCCCTGGCTTTGTGAGGGGAGTGGGGCCTAGTGCGTAAAGCGGGCTCTGTGGGAAGCTGGGGGAAGGGGTTCAGGCTCCCAGGGCCCAGCTCCGGTTGGTGAGCAGGTCTCGGGCACCTGGGGCGGGGCAGGCCTTGCTGCCAGAGTGTAAGCTCGTTAGTCATTAATCATCCCCCAGGGAGCTGGGAGGAGAATCGGACGCCAGGCACAGCTGGGTCACAGCGACCACGCACAGGGTGGCTTGCCTGGTGCTGAGATGCGGCCATCTCTGGGGTGTGGCACCCTCCCCTCCCCCTCTGACCCGTGGCCTCTCTCCACAGACGCTGTGGATGATGATGGGGGATCTGAGCCCAGCTCCATCCCTGGCTCCTCGTCCCCCCAACGGCCCCAGCGCCGAAGAGACCCCGGGATGCGGGGGCCAGCCCCAACCCCAGAGCCAGGGGAGAGACCACAGGTGAGGGGTGGCGAACTACAGCACCCGTGGTCTGCCGGCCTCTCTCTGCCAGCTGTTTGTTCCAGCCCTGGTTTTCTGGCTCTGCCCCCTTCCAATAGATTAGTATCTAAAACAGGGGCGGGCAAACTTTTTGGCCTGAGGGCCACATCAGGTTTGTAAATTGTATGGAGGGCCGGTTAGGGGAAGGGGTCATGGCCTGGCCCCCACCTCCTATCTGCCCCCCCACCCCCCAGACTCCTGCCCCCATCCAACCTCCCCTGTTCCCTGACGGACCCCCTGGAACCCCTGCCCCATCCATACACCCCTGTCCCCTGACCGCCCCCAGACCCCCGCTGCCTCATGCAACCCCTCCTCTCATTCCTGATGGCCCCCCTGGGACTCCTGCCCCATCCACCCACCCCTTCTTCCTGTCCCCTTACTGCCCCTGGAACGCCTGCCACTGACTGCCTCCGACTACCCCCTGCCGCCCCATCCAGCACCCCTCCCTGACCTCGCCCCCCTCCAGGACCCCGCCCCCCACTTCAACCCCCTATTCCCCCCCCACCCCCTGACCACCACCCTGAACTCCTCTGCCCTCTATCCAACTTCACCTGCCCCCATACCGCGCTGCCTGGAGCATCGGTGGCTGGCGGTGCTACAGCCACGCCGCCGCCACTGCGCAGCACAGAGACCAGGTCAGGCCAGGCTCTGCAGCTGCGCTGCCCCAGGAGCTCACAGCTCTGCCGCCCAGA